CATGAATGCCGTGATGAGTTCCTATCAATACTATCGCCTTCTCGGAGTTCTGGGCGTGATCTTTAATCTGAGTTTTTCTTGTTATGTTACGTAAAGATACAATAGGGACAAATAATTATTTCAATCTATAAAGTGGTTGCAGGATGAGGTAGGACATTTCAAAAATGAAATAAGTTCGCAATAGGGAAGAAAACTCAACGCCGAGTTAGTTGGACTCGGATGGGAGTGTGGTGGTCGTTCCAGTGGTCACCGCATTGAGGTTAATTGGACGGAACTAGAACAATTTCATAGAGACGTATATGGAGCTTCCCTGTCCTCACACAACTGCGTTTGAGCAGGGTGAAAAACCGAAAAAAAACCGAAAGTAAGCTCTGTTTCCAAAAATTAGGTGCTTGTCGAGTGCAGACCACACAACGTAAAAGAAGACGCTTCCACAAAATGTAAATGTTTTCTGCTAATGAAATGGTTAGGCGGTTGCAATTGTAGGCGCAATGTTGCTACAGCGGGAGGGAGGGAGGGAGGGAGGGGAGAGGCAGCCCGTAACATTGCGAAGATTCACGGAAACGCTCAGATTTAGGACTAAGCTTTAGAGGAGAAGAGGGAATCAAAGGTGCATAAACAATTCTTCTCCCCGGAACTCGTCCTTCTCTGTTAGGCTTTGTCCGACTGGCCTTCCTACTGACGAAAGATTGAGACTGCCCCCCGACGCACATTTCGCCCATTTGTATCCTATCAGTTGTCAACTGATTACAACTATCAGCTACCACTATGAACCATCAGTTATTAGATTTATAACACTTGGAGGCAGCCGTCACTTGTGGTGGTGGAATGGCTCACACACCCCGTGGAATTCCTCCCCCTGCGAAAATTTTAATAGGCACAAGAGTTGCCCAAGTATTCCCTATCATCTAATTTAATGCTTTTTCCCTACTTCTCACGTTCAATGTGATGATGATTAATCCACTGAACCAATAAGCTTTCAGCGCGAACAACGCCATCCATTCATGCAAAGAAGCATTGTAGAATTTAGTGATTGGGTAGTCAAAACAACATAGATTCAAACAAAAATCAGGTCTGAGTTTTAGCAGTTGGAATAGCAACACATTCTGCAACAACGCAGACAAATATGACACCTAGAAGAGTTACTGTAAAAGAGTTACTTGCCAAAGTGGGACCCATCCGAGATCCCCCTTAACTTTTTGAACAAGCTACAAACAGTGATGAAAGAAAAAACAAAAACAACAGGAAAACAAATTGTGGACGGGCTGTCGTCAGCCTGCCAGTGAGACAACTAACACTTTTGGTGGGTGTGTCCGAACCAATTGTAGTCCGCTCACTAGTGTATGCAGGGCGCACTATCGTCTGCCGTCTAGCTCATGGAGTAGATGAAACGGGAAAAAGTGATAGTTATCTCGCTGAAAAGAACAAGTTGCCATAGAGCACTTATTCGTACCGGAGCATGGCAATGTTCATGGCCATGTTCGGCGCGTATGGAGAATTTCTGAGAAGGGAGGCCAGGATGCATGAGGTCTGGACAACATTTGAGAATCATCACCAAATCAGGAAGATCAGCATTGATTTCTCTGAATACAAATTCGTCTTGCGTGGACAAACCTGGAAGATCACCGTTTGGTGTTGTATTTTGTGGTATTTGTGACGCCAACCACGTTTTTGTGAGCTTCCATCTTCTGGCTAAATTCTCCATCGTTTCAGCTGGCACCGGCTCACATGCCATGTTCGAATTTTGCAAAATAGTATAAATGTAACATAAAGGCTGATAAACTGTACCCTACAAATCAGCAGAATCAAGTTCTAATTTGCTTCGCTTTATTGATTGTTGAATCGTTCACTGGGCCCAAAAAGAATCCTCTGACTGATGTTGTGAATCTTTTCAAGCGGAATACTTGTCGTTTCATTGACGACTTTCGTGCTCTAGAGAGAAATTGCGCTCGAGCGCAATTCTAATTTTTCAGCACAACTGCGCAAAGACGCTTAATTTGTTTGTATAGAGCGTCGTTCATGAAGTAACTATACAATCCAGTAGGTATGAGGATAAGGCGTAACTCATTTGTGCGTAATTATTGACCGAAATAAATTTGTGGTGAATTTTCCTTGGGTAGAGTCGAATGTGCTCCTTTGTGTCATTTGCAATCGCTTTCTTGATTTCCTGTTCGATCGTTGTTACCGTGTGCTCTAAAAATACGAAGGCTACATAGCGTCACTTGTTCGCAGCTTCATTTTAAGTGCTTCTTTTGTAGGAGCACGTTTTGGAACCACTAGAAGCTACGGGAGTTCACTTCCCTCCGTAGCTACTATTTAAACGTTAGATTCCGAGTCAGCTAAGAGGAGTAAATAAAAGTGTGGCAATATTTGTATGCGCCACACATGAAAAAAACTTTCAGCAGCGGAAAGGCTGATCCTCCAGCCGACTTCTTCATGACGGAACTTCTAGGTATTTTTAACTTACCTTCGTTCACTGGCTTCCGCCTCAGTCCTTGCGCGGTTCACTTTCACGTGAATTTCATGCAGTTCTTCTAATATAGGAATTAAGGTGGTCCGAGTGGAGCTTACATGTGCGGCCTGCGGACTTGTGGGCTCTTCCGTCCATCGATGTCAAAATGTCTACAATTTTTCGGAGAAGATTACACTGATTTCAACACTTCATTTGTTATTTCAGCGATTTCAGGCGTGCTCCAAGATGTGTGCCAGCCCTGTGTCTGTGGTGTACTCCACCCGTCCCTGGAGTTCTCCAACTGGTGAAGTTTTTTATGGATCTTTCGAAATTAGCACATGCTGTTCACCCGGACTGATGCGTGATCCTTACCCAAATCCCATTTGCGCGCTATGGTTCAGATCGAGCGGCCCTCGGACGCCTGGCAAAATTGTTTCATTTTATACTTCGCTCGTGCGCAAAATGCAAACTATGACTTCAATAGGATATGGCTGTTAACAAGCATCTAGCACGCCATCGGACTCATTCTCCCAAAATTCGCTTTCAGTATCCCGAATTTTGAAAACTGGACCCCGATATCCGCAGTGAAAAGCCTGGCTGACTTTCACCATCGGCGTACGCAGTATTATATTATGTTTAGGGGATTTGATTCGCCTCTTCATAAATATGCCGTATTTTTCCCGCGTCTGTCGGAATTCCGGTTATGTGTGGATCTTCTGAGAACTATAGCAATCTTTCTCAGATGGTTCTAGGCAGTATGAGCAAAGAATAAAGCCAAAATAATTTACAGCACCTTCTGAAGCTCGGAAACCATGGAAGCTAATTTGCGAACACCACGTTTCTTCAGCAACTTAACCAGTAACTCATTGGTTACCGCCGCTCATTCTGACTTTTTTAGCTGCATGGGGGGGGGGGGCATGGGTTTTGCGGGGCCGCCACGACACCCAGACGCATTAGAGTTTGCGTAAGAGTTACGCAGAAAATTTTCAAAATCCTTCCAAGATTCATTCAATGCGCAGAAGCTACCCAGGTGTAGTGGTAAAAGTTTCTCGCAGATGAACGAGTAGTGCCAGTGATAAAGCAAAATATTGATTTTCGCAGTGGTAGTTTAAAAACCGTGATTGTTTCAGTCGAAATACATATCTTATCATTCAAGAAATTAAGCATTCATTTCACTTTTCCTGACATCCTCTAGTGAAAAATGAAAAGGAAACAGCGAGTGAACAGTAACTGAAAAATTTTTCGTATGCGTCTTGAAAACAATACTATCTGACCGTTGGCATTGGTCCTGTGAACCAAAAGCATTTAAAGCTGTGCTAAGGTAGAACTCTAATAGAATGCTATCTTCGCAGGACCCGGGACAAAGTTGTTACTCGCGGAAAAATGATCACATGGGTGCGGGCCACATATGGCTCACACTGTCCCACTTGAGATTGTGGGCCATATATGGCCCCTTTTGTCGTCAGTGTGTTATACGAATTCTTCTTTCAGGAGAGTATCCGATTCTTTACGACAAAACAAACCAGGTGAAAATGACCACCGATTTTGACAAGTAAGCGATCGCTACTTCTACAATAATTCTTCTTCTTTGTATTGTTTCCTTTATTTAGTCTGATTGTTTAAGATTTGTGGATATGCTGAGGAAAAGCGGTCAGGAGGTAGTGATCGATGCGGAATTGACTCCATCCGAACGTTCACAAATCGACGCATTCAATTGTTTTCTCCAGGAATACATAAATCCGGCTGTGGTAAGTGTCTCCCTGAGTTTACTGGGCTAAAATGTTCATGAGGGAGCTCTATGAAAATCTCGTTCTTAGATGCACACATTCTGGGGCGACGATTTGAACTACAATACCGTAACACATTACTGGTTTTCTTCCCGACTGTCATTTCCTTACAACCTCTACTACCTCGAGAAGCGTCGGAAGCGAATCCAACGTCTGCTGTCTGAGAAAAGCGTCAGCTCAATAATGAAAGATGGGTTACAGGTAACGAGTTTTTCTTTGATCTCGGCCAGAATCCCTAGCTTTTCTCATGACATTCCCATTGTTTAGGCTTTGAATCTGCTGTCATCAAAACTTGGGGACAACAAGTTCTTCTGTGGAAACAAGTAAACTGACATTTTAATAAGTTTTTGGTTGCAATTCATAGCAAGTGCTTCCAGGCCCAGTTCGCTTGATGCTTTGGTTTTCGGCTATCTAGCCCCACTTCTTCGTCTTCCACTTCCAAATGACAGGCTACAGCTTCACTTGAGGGCTTGCCCAAACCTTGTAAGTGAAACCATCTATTATTTAAATCATTTGTTTGAAGTAATGTTTACATGCATTTAGGTTCGATTCGTTGAGCAGGTGGCATCAATCTACCTTCCTCCTTCAGAAGAACAGTTGAGGCTACAAAAAGGCGAACGAAAGATGTGGGAGGGCCGACTACAAAAGGCCGAAAAATTGAAGGAAGCCGAGAAGGTGGGCTGCCTCGGATTGTGGGAGCAATTTGTAAAATAGTTATGTGAATTGTTTTTTAGGTTGCGACAGCAGAGGCCACCTTTAGTGCAGGAAGATATGCCACTACGAGATAGCATACTGTTTGGATTGGGGGCCATCACCCTCTCCCTTCTTTTCGCTCTCCATTCCGGCATTATTCAGGTAAAGGTGAAGCATAGTGCATACAATGGTATCACTAACGTTACATTACTAATTGAACCATCTTTGTTGCTCCATGTTTGACCTAATAAGAACTCTCAGTTGATGGCGTATGGAGAAAAGATGGTCCCATAAAAGTTGGAATGGAATTTAATACAGGAAATAATAGCGAATCAACAATGTATGCACTGCGTACTTAAAGGCAGCGGTCACGATAAAATGGGAGCGCATAAGGGAAGCAGGTCACACGAATCACTTACTCGGTTGTTAGGAAAGCGTGGTGTTTTTCGCTTTTCCGACGGAAGGTCCACTTGGTTGTTTGCCAGCCAGGACTTCGCGGCAATCCGCCCCAAAATTATGGATCCACCTATCAGCTTTTAGTTTGTGTTGGATTTGGACGAAGCAGCGTTGCCCAGCAGCGGCACAACTGGAGCAACTCGATTGAGATCGTGGTTTGGCATGATGTTACCAAACGCGTTGCGCTGAACTCGTTCATACGCCCGCTTTCTGAGCTGTCACCTGTTCATGAGTGAAAACCAACGGCCAAAAAAGGGGTCCGTTTTGCGTTTTTTGACGGATTTCTCCGCTTTTTTCGCCACCGACGTACCATTGAGCACCACCACGTCTCCAAACCCTAACTGAACCTATCGTCATCCTGCCCTTGATGACGAGGTTTTTAATGCCTAGGGTACAAGTGACTTAGGTGAAGGTTGTTTTCTCAGCTACTTTGTGAATTTTGCTCTTACTCGACACTTTTTTAGGTTGTGGTCGAAGATGACGAGCAAGCAATTCCTGAATGACTTCGATGATGTAATCACCGAGCACCTGTACATTTAGGCCTTCCTCAAGTTTGTTAGGTGTAAACTCGTCCTGTGAACGGGCGATACAATTGCTGAGCTCACACCACAAATATTGTTTCTGCAAAGAAATTTTGTCAGCCTCTTTTGCCAAATGTTACAAATTCAATCATCCAGAAGCTAGTAGAGGAGAGGTTACTCTAAAACGACGTGTTCACTGTGGATCAAACTTGAGTGATTGTTTAGGTAGAGCCAATGTGTGGTAATAAAGAGAATTATTCTGTTTTAGAAGTTGCATATTCTCAGTGTGTTCGCTTAAAAGAGATAGGAAAGCTAATAAATTGATTCATCTTTTGTTATGATGGGGTTCGGCGAAAGTTCACGGTTTACCGTATGTTGAAACATGAAAGGTATCTCCTTTGGAGCATGGTTGTGTACCAGCAAAGGGCTTGAAAATTCTGGCCTGTGCGACCCCGTGCCCTTCCCCTATGATGGTTACACGGAGCGAGGTTGTAAGCTCAGGGCCTGCGCCGAAATCGTCTTAGAAAGTCGTAGGATCACTCCTTTGACGAATTAGCTTTTTTGCTGGACAGCAAATAAGAACTCCATGTCAGGTTGTAAAAATGACAGGAGCTGATGACGGAGGATGGACCCGGTTGAATATGATGAACGCCAAGTGTGGAGCTCCGAAGTGGGCAAGAAGGCAATCGTGGACCGTCATGGGGAAAAATTAGGCTGAAAAAGTAGAAGGCTTCCGATCCTTGTGGAGCGATCTCGCTGCTGTAGGGGGCACCAAGGCCCGGATCCCAAGCAGCGTGGAAGAAGTGTGAAGGGGGCATTCAGCGGTATCCACTGTGACCGCAGCTGCTCCACGGCGCTTATGGGTAAGGTGTGACGGGTGCTGGTAAGGCCAACAATGCTCAACGGCAATGAAGGCTAGTCCATAGGTAAGAACCATGGGAAACAGTTCTACTCCTCTGAAATGAGAATGCTGATCGTTGAGGTGGGGACGTGGCTAGATGCGACCCGAAAGTGTTGGGAACAAGTAAGGTCTATGATGCAGACAGCCCCAGTTAAACTGAAGTTT